AAAATTCTAAAATATATTTTGGGCTTGAATATTTATTATTTTATTTAAATAAATATTTTGGTTCCACAAGCCAAAAATATTTAGATAATTCTATAATTAAAATATATAGCTCAGTAACTTTAGAAAATGGTTCTATAATTCAAGCAACTGAAGATTTTTATGGCAAAGCCTGGTATAGCAATGTAGAAGTTGCTATGAATTCTGAAGAACTATCAGAATATTTGACAGCTGATAGATTTTGCTATGGACAGGTATATGTTGTAGTTTTTTTTAAAAAAAATTTCAAAATGTTAAATTTTTAATATTCAATTTCAGATATACTTATTAATCAAAGTCGAAACCACTGAAGAAAATTCGTATAATCTCACATTAATTCGGTGGTATGATTTTAAGTCTGAAAAAGATCCATATTATTTAGGATGTCCTAGACTTCAAGAAACAGAATTATATAACATTGTAGATATTGAAGCAATTAAAAATCATGTTCATATAATTCCACACTTTGATAATTCAGATAAATATTTAGTTAATAAGTATATGTTCTAAAATTAAATCAGAACAAATTAGATCGAATTAGATCGCATTATTTCAAATAGTATAAATTAATTCAAAATATTTTGTAAAAAGAAATTAAAGTTAAAAAATTTGATTAATAAATAAATGATCTAAAAAATATAATCAGAACAAATTAATTCGAATTAGATCGCATTATTTCAAAATAGATTAGATTAATTCTAAATAATTTGAAAAAAGAAATTAAGGTTAAAAAATTTGATTAATAAATATGTTCCAAAAATTAAAATAGTTCAAATCATATTAAATAGGTTCGATTCATTCATATATTATTAATAAACACAAAATAGTAAAAGTAAAATAAATTTAAAAAATTTGCTTAATAAATTAAAATAAAGTTAAAAAATTTGATTAATAAATAAATAAATTGACATGTATTTTTAAATTAAATTAAATTGCTTAAAGCGATTTAGTTTAGTTTAAATGAAATAGATTAAATATAAATTACTCTAAATCAATAAATATATTTTGATTATATCGATAAAAATTGAAATATTAAAAAAATATTATGCATAAATTATTAAACTGCAAATTTAGCTCGACATGAAATTAAACCGCATCTATGTGGAATAATTCAAACTTTGTAAAACTTGAAAAATAAATAAAATAAATGATAATATATTTATAAAGCAAAATAAGATTATATTATATAATAATAAATACATAAAAAATAAAAAAATAAAACATAAATAAAAAAAATAATAGAATTAAAAATTAAAAACATAAATAAAAAAATTTAAAAAATATAATAATACAAATATATATATATATATATATATAATTAGAATCAGAAGAATGATTATAGCATATAAGTGATGTAACAGTAAAAAATAATTTATTATTGATGACCAGCATCTTCGGTTTGTTTCTTTTGTTTGCGGGTTAACTTGAGTTGTTTCTTTTTGAGGCGGAATTACTAGGTAATGATCGGAATAATCTGATTCTTCGTAAGTTGAATTGGTTAAATTATCAGAATCTTCAAGGTCATGAGGAGAGGAGGGGTTTACTGTAACAGGAACAGATATAAGATCTGCTTTTTTACCCTTTTTACTTGGTCGAGTGGAGTTATTTGTTATTTTTCTTTTTCAACCCTGACTTCTTGAAGAAGAAGTAGCTACTACTTCTTCTTCTTCTGAAACAGATTCTTCTTCGTCAGAAGCAAATGGCCAAAAAGCAGAGCGATCTTTTACTTTATTCTATTTTTATTAAATTTAAAATTATTAAAATTATTTTACGTATATTTAAATAATATAATATTAATTAATTATTTATTACTTACAATATTTTTTTTTATTCTTTTACGTGCAGGTTCATCATTCATATTTAATGTTTCATAATTCTTACTTAGCACTATTTGACATACAGTCAAAGTGTATACTAATTGTATATTAGTGGGACTATTAGGCCATACATGTGAAAGGATCTGATTAAAATAGGTATGAGGCGCATTAGGATCAATTTTTCTATGGAGCAATTTATATGTGTGACTTGTTTTAGCAGACTCTTTCCATTCTTGAATATTCCTTGGTATAGGATTCGGACCTGGTCAGTTAAAAAGAGCTGCACCATAAACAGAGTAAATTGTATCCTTTATTTTTGTAGTTAGCCGACTTCTTTGTGAATGAAGTTGGGTGAGGAGCTAAATTAATGATAAATAAATTTTTATAAAGAAAAGAATCGATTAGAGCAAATTATAATAATATTATTAGATAATGATAAATATTGAATTATATAAAATTAGAAAAATAATGATACTAATTCTAATAAAAAATATAAATATAATATAACCGAATTATTGAAAACTAAATAAAACATTACAGGGCTAACTAATTTATCTTC